CCGCCCCGCTTCAGGGCTGCCTGCACCTGCAGTGTGACACTTAACAGGTTTCTTGCAGTGCGGTACAAATGTGGCCCCGGTCACGGACACTCTCGGAGAAACACTGCTTCACAGAAGCATTGATACTTTTTACACGAGAGCCTGGTTGTGGGGTATGATGGAGAATGTGCTCACGTGGGGTCCCAGGAGGTTCTTCCTGTGGTTCTCCTGAGACGCTTGTGTCCGGTCTGGGTGACGTTCATTTAGGCTGATGATCTCAGTGCACATATTTCCAAAACATTTCTTCTCGTCTGGGGATTGATCTAAGTGTGGTATTGAGAGTCTGGGTCCATTATTTTATCCCACTTGTCAACTTAATCACTTTATCTTAACAAATGGAGCCTTCCTTCTGCCCTTCCTGGAGTCACTAATAAGGAACTTGATAAATCTTATCGGGGAACAGATCGTCTGCTTTCTGCCAACGTACTGTATGAAATTTAAAACGTGGGTTGCTGATTGCTGAGGGACGGTCCCCCTGCTCAGTACTCGGTAGGCATGAATGTGCATCATTAGAAGTGTGAACCTGAGGATTTCCATTCCCTCATCTTCTCCAAGGAAAGCCCGAAAAGTTTATCCCCGGAGCACAGCACACTAAAACGCTGGACCTTGCGATCTGCTGCGCGCTGGGGAATCTGAGGGTCTCTGTGGAATCAGATTGATAAGGCCCTCAGCTGTGCCCTGTTTTAGTCTTAGGAGGAGGGGAAACGTGCCAAGGTCCATGCCTACCTCGTGCTACTCTTTAAGTGAATAAACTGGTAGGAGTGTGAGGCGAGAAGCTGTAAAGCGAGAAAACAAGGACCACCTGACCTCACGTCGACCACTCTTGGCAACTTGGGTCTCCTACGGGGTCTTAAGTAGTTGGAAGTCGACCGTCAGGAGGCATCAAATCATTACCTCAAATACTACAAGCTGTTTGCTTTTACCGGTTGAGGGGTGGGGAACTAAACACACGCCAGAGCCATGTGTGTCTTAAAAAGCAGCCCAGAGGCTGACCCCCGTGCCTTAGGTTGGTACCACGCAGGTCCACGTGCCGCACACGTGAGCGCCTCGTAAAACACGAGTCGCCGGGCTCCACCTCCTGGTGTGCGGCCGGGCTGGACCCTGAAAAGATGCCTCTGCTGTCTCCAAGGTCGAATGGTGCTCGCCATCAATGGTATCCCTTTAAGGGAAATCTAGGGAAAGGCTCTTGCCAGCGCTGCGATTTTATTTGCTGGAGGCCAAGGAACAGTGGCGTGTATTGGTTCCATAGCAACATGTCTGTGCAGCCAGAAAAGAATAAAATGATTGTGGCAGCCGGGGTATCCTGGGCAGGATGAGCACAGCCCTGATGGCCCCTTTTATTTTCCACCTTATTCTGAGCTGCCTTTGCCCTCCTGGAGAGCGTGGGCTGCGTAACTGTTACTGTCGATCTCTGCTGTGAACGCTTGCCTCCTGTCCCCACCCAGCTGGGGACCTGATGAGGGAGAAGGCAGGGTCTGCAGTAAAATTCTGCAGGCCGCTGGGTATGCCAGCAGGGCTGGCAGAACCTCCCTGCCCTAGCAGACCCGAGTCGGTGGATACTCTGTTCTTTTCATCATCCCTGTGAGAATGGCACTGTGGGCAGAGTGCTTCCTGCACATCGCGGTCTGCTGCTCCTGGCTGGAAATTAGGCACTGAAATGGGGCTCTGTGAGATCTCGGGAAACAGAGGACCCATTTAATGTGCTCCATACGCATTGAGGGGGCCCTTCCTGGGGCAGCGTGAAGTCCCCCGCATGGTGGGGCTGCACCGAGAAATATGGTGCACATGGCATGGCTTCGAGGAGCTTCCCCCGGAGGTGCTGTTTCTAAATGCAGTTGCTCCAGGGTGTGTGGTTGGGGTTTTAACATGTCTCTGATGTTTTCTCATCTCTGAAATCCTCTGTGAAACCATTGTAATCACTCTTGATTTCAACGGATGCTTTGTCTCCCTGAACTCCTGAAACATCTTAAAAATCTTCGCTATCTATTTGACATTGGTTTTTGTGTTTTCCCTTTTTTGATACATCATGCTTTGGGGGCCTGAGCAGTCTTTCTAGGTAGAGGGTAAGACCTTTGAGGTCAGGAGCCATCTATCTTGTTCTTTATCTTTTTTAAAAAAAATTTCTCTGATGCTCAGAACTGAACCCCGTAGACACTAACATGTCGTTAATATTTCTTGATGATAATGCTATGGTCTCATCCGATCTCATAAGGAAGCTGTGAGGCAAGTGTGTAAATGTATTGAAAATGCTTTTAAATTCTTCAGAGAAAAGATAAACTCAAGAAACTCTTTTAACTGGTGTGGTTTAAAAAAAAAGTAAATGTGAAATCACAAGGTAAGTATATCTAAAGACTTCGCATTTCCTTGTCTTCCTCTTTGTGGCTACCGACCATGAACTGTGTACCCCAGGGTTTTCAGTGGCACTGAAGTCGTCCTCCGCCTCGTCACCCCCAGGGTTCACTCCTTCTATGGAATTTGCCTTATACTTTGTGGGCCAGACTTCTCAGTCAAACCCCTAGTAATGTCTTTGAGCTACTAAGGAAGAGATTGGAAGGAATTTTCATTAAGGTGACAGGTCTGATAGATTATGATAGTGGTTCCTAATTTAGTTTTGAGGTCCGTTTGGCGAGAGGAGGTTTTTATCATATAAAACTTTTATTTGAAAAGAGTACTCTTTTCTTCTCAAGTTCTGAGCCAACCAAGAAACAAGACAAGAAGGCAGATGGAGGCCGGGATGCACCTATGTGACGGATAACAGTTAACTGAGTTAGAGTTTGTGTTTTAGGATGAGAGCCAGCAAGAGCTTCCCACCTCCTCACACCCCGACTGGGCCTGGGCACAGCCCGCCTGCAGGGAAGGTTTGCGTCCCGAGGCCACTGTGGCCCTGAAGAAGGAAGGCAAAAGAGACCAAACCCCCCCGCCCCCCAGGTGCTCAATGTTTTAACGCTACCCAGTGATAGATTAATTAATCTAATTCTACCCGGTGGAGTTAACATTCCCCCAAGGAGAGGCGTGGTCCATGCCAGCTTTAGCTCCCAGCCAGGTAACTCGCCCTACATCCCTGGGAAGAAAAAAAGAATGGAGTTAGAGGCCGGGAGGGTTTAGGGAAAATCCTTCCGGCAGAAAACAGAGTGGTGGGCGTGGGGTTTGCCTCTGGCTCTTTCTCCTGGCTCTCACCGTCTACACTTTGGTTCCCAGTCTCCATCTAACCATCTTACCCACTGTGTTTTCTTCATAGCTCTTGGGTTTGTGTATCTGTCCACTGGATTATCATTTGCCGCCTCTGTTAGAATGTTAGCTCACTGAAAGCAGAAACCTCATTGGTGTCATTTACCGCCGGATCCCAGTGCGTAAAGCGACACAGGCACATAGGAGGCACTTGATAAGTACTTGTTGAATGAGTACGTGACTAAATGTTGTTTTATGCCTCTTCTCACACTTCTTAATTGCCTGGATGTCCTGTGCCCCGTCTTGCCTGGCACACACCTAGTCATGTCATAAGACTCAGTTCAGTTCATGCTATACACAGAGTAGGTGAACGACAAGGTCCTACTGGGCAGCACAGGGAACTATATTCAATGCCTTGTAATAACCTATAATGAAAAAGAATATGAAAAAACCTATCTAGCTGAATCACACCAGAAATGAACACACTGTAAATCAAATGTACTTCAATTTTAAAAATAGGTGAAAATGAGATTTTAAGACATTGTTTCACAAGTATTAAAACTGAGTTAAAAGTACGTGCGCACACACACACACGGCTCAGTTCAGCTGTCACATTCTCTGTGGAACTTTCTGGCTTCCCTTCATCCAAGGGGAAGGAGCACCTGCTCATTTGTAACCAGTTGCCAAGAGCTGTACACTTGTGTGTGAGCATGCATCTCTGTGTGTGAGTGTGCATTTGCGTATTCTCCCTCTTTCTGGATCTGGCTCTGTAACACT